CCTGGGATGGTGGCAGGGGAGGGAAGTGGCTGATCCTCGAGATCCCTTCCAACCAAACCATTCCAGGATTGTGATTCCATGCTCGAAGCCGGATGGGGATTGGCCTCTTGGCCTCTCCTTTTGCTGTTTTAGTCAGGAAGGAAGGACAATCCTGCTCTTTCCACAGCTCCAGCCAGCTCTCCCAGGATGAGGAGAGGAGCTGCTGCTCCCCCTCCTGCTGCTCCTTCSTTCCATCCCCACCTCCTGCTCTGTTTCCGTGGCTCTGCCGTTTCCAGGATCCTTTAATGCTGGTCCTGTTCAGCGACTCCTGGGAGGGATCAGCGCTTTGAGCAGGAGCTGGATTCCATCCCAGGCTCCTCTGCCAGCTGCTCCTCCTGCCCACTTCCAAAGCTCTCAGCATTCCTGACTCCCTCACACTTGGAGCCAGCACTTCCCGAAATGTCACATTCTCTGGGCCAGAGCAGAGGAGCCAATGCCTGCCCTGAGGTTTTCCGTATTTTAGATCCATCAGTGCTGCTTTTCCTTCTCCRAGCCAGTTGGGAATGTTGGGAATGCCCTCATTTGGGATGTCCTTGCTGTTGTCCATCCCAGAAATCAGCCTGCGTGCCTTCAATGTGGCTTTGAACTCCAGGAAGGTTCCACTGGGTGCTGCCTCTCCCTCGATCCCACTCCCAGTGCCGAGCATTAAAAACAGAGCCGGAACTTTCCAGGGAATAAATCAGCTCAGCCTGAGCAGTGCTGGCTGAATCTGCAGTAAAACGAGCTTTAATCTCGAGGCAAAGGCACATCCCASAGATAATCCAGCGAAATGGCAGGAAGGAGGCAGAGCCCCGGGGTCGGGATCCCAACRAGGCCGGGAGCTCCGTGCAGCGGCAGCTTGGCCCTAAGGCGATTATCCCCACGAGGAAGATTGATTTATTTGTTTTTATGAACGCATCCAACAGTTTGCATCCATCCCTGGGTGTTTCCATAATCCCTTCCAGGGCTGGGGAGGGGAGGGAGGAAGAAAAGGAGGCGAGGGAGGGATTGTTCTGATGGGAGAACTTTGACAAAGATTGGAAGTGATGGGGCTGGGGTCACACTTGGTGTCTCCTGGCTTTGACTCCTGCTCGTGGTGACACTTCCAGCCCCTCCTGGTGACAMTTCCAGCCCCTCCTGCCTGCAGTGACACTTCCAGCCCTTCCATCTCTCCGTGATTCCCATGAAGGTGAGTATGAACCCATTTATTCTCCCGACGTTCTCGGTGTTTGTGCAGACGGAGGTGATCAGATACCGCTCAAGGACGAGTCCCTTATCTCC